TACCTCATATCCATACCCTCCCACAGCCCCTCCACCAATATCTACACCCCACTACTACAGCCCCTCCACCAACATCTATACCTACTACAGCCCCTCCACCAACATCTATACCCACTACTACAGCCCCTCCACCAATATCTATACCCCACTACTACAGCTCCTCCACCAATATCTACACCCCACTACTACAGCTCCTCCACCAATATCTACACCCCACTACTACAGCTGCTCCACCAATATCTACACCCCACTATTACAGCTCCTCCACCAATATCTATACTCCCACACTACAGCCTGAGTAGATATCTGACATCAGCCTTCTTATTCATCGTCGTGATAGAACAACGTGCTTTCATTTTTGGTTAGAGATTTGTGAGTATAGACCACAGGTTAGTATTAAAGTCTTCTAGGTCTTAGATAAGGAATTTCCAACTATAAATGAGGCCATGCTAAAATCTAAATGGCAGAGGGTTCTAGGGGCCCAAAGGGACTGTCAGCAAGCCCATCCAGGTACTCTCTCTCACCTCCCAGAGAAGCCCTAGCCCTCAAGCCCTCCTCATTTGAAGCCTATGGCATCCTAATTTGTCCACAAGTCTAATAAGCCACTGTCATCTTGCTTTTCAGTTCACAACACCATGAAACCTCAGAGGCACCCAAGCACTGATAGCAGGAAAAAGGGCAATCAACAGGAAAAAGAGTCAGAATATTAAAAAGCAAATGTCAGAAATGGACACCGAGTAATAGTCCAAGACTAATCCCATGTACCCCTGGTTTCAACGGATGCTGGTCTTCATGTAGAGCAGGTTCTGCAGACCGAGAGGACATCTTTCACTAACAATATTCTGACATCGGAGACAGAGACTATATCTGTAACAAACTTTTCAGCAACCTGCCCTGAAATGCAGCCTTGTATTAGAAAGCCACTTCTCAGCACAGAGGAGGCCCTTGGAGTCTTTCCAGGATTCTCACATCCATCTGGGAAGAGGAAAAGAACCCCTAAAACTGGGCTGACTTCATAAGCACTTTAATTTCACACACGTCACATTTCTGGAGCTGCTTGGTCTTTCCTTTCATCTTGCATCACTGCAGAGAAAATTCACAGACTTCTGCAGGTGAGAATCTCACCCATTAGTAAGAAAATCTTGCTTTATATTAAGCTGGCCTTTCTCTGGAGATCTTCCAACTGCTTTATAAACATTCTTTCACACCTCCAGGCAGGTAGGTGGTAATTGTTATTCTTTCTGGACAAGAGGTAGCACTGTGAGCCTTAGCAAGACAGAACTGAAATGTTTTTAAATGCCCAAGGGAAAGCAAAATCAAGGCTTGGAAAATATGAGATAAGACAGATGTGACCAAAAATAGGAAGAAGAATGGTATACAAAATTCCAAAAAAGGAGAATTCTCCTATAATCCGCTCCCCGTCTTCCCAGCTTCACAGGAGCCGCCACTTGGCCCTCCTCTGGCTGTGCAGCTTCCACACCGGCGCTGGCCTGGAAAATCAGGCGTGGTGAGTGCTAATTTTGGCTCAAATGAGAAATTTTCTCTCTCTTTGATCTTTGCCAGGAAACAGGATCAACAATCTGACTTCCATAAAGTGCAAGCTGAAACCTGAACTCTTATGATCAGTCAAGAAGGTGACAAGAGGCCGTGGTTCCTTTAAATGTCACAAAGACAACAATATAGGTTTAGAGTGTTAATACCTGGGTTTGAATCCTTACTCTGTCCCTCACTAGCTAAGGGCCCTGTAAGTGACTGTGTGTGCTCTGCCTTAAGATGAAGGTGACACAAGCGACCCTACACAGCCAAGAGGAATAAATGAAACAGCATCCTTCATGCCTAGCCCAGTGCCTGCTACACTATGGGTGCTCATCAGGCCACTGCCTTGGATGCCTTTATTGATAACTTTACTCGCTGTAGAAAGCTGGACAGCAACTAGGACCTGCAGTGATGTGTGAAGTATTACAGCTGGCAAAGCCACAGCGTGGTGAGCAATGCACCAGCTGTAACATGCAAGCCCTGCTCTGCTTTCTGCTTTTGCAGGAAATTTTATAAAGGAGAGGGAAGGACTGCTTTTATTTATGCAGCTGCCCATGTTGTTAACTAAGTACAAGTGAGTTTCGTCCAGATTCCATGGTGTGGAGTGCTCCAAGTGGGCCTGCCTAGGCAAGGACTCTGAGCCTCCCAAGAGAGATATTAGCTGCTACTGCCTTTTTTTTTTTTTTTTTTTGGAGACAGGGTCTCACTCTCTGTTGCCCAGGTAGAGTGCAGTGGCGTGATCTCAGTTCACTGCAATCTCCGCTTCCTGGACTCAAGTGATTCTTCAGCCTCAGCCTCCTGAGTAGCAGGGACCACAGGAGTGAGCCACCACGCCCGGCTAAGTTTTGTATATTTTGTAGAAACAGAGTTTCCCCATGTTGCCCAGGCTGGTCTTGAACTTCCGGATTCAAAGCAATCTACCCACCTTGGCTTTCCAAAGTGCAGGCATAAGCCACTGTGTCGGCCAGATATTAGTTCTTCAAACTATTCAGAGCTTCAGTTATCTAATCCGTAAAGTGGGGATGACACTGATTCAGCTTATGGGATTTTCATAAGAATTGAATAAGCTATGCTGTGTAAAAGCCACCAGCTAGCTATAATCTATCCACAGAATCAGATGTGGCATTATTCTCTCCATGTCAGAGCTGAGACAATCTGGGTCTAGGTATCAGCTGAATGAAGGTAAAGGGCTAGTTGTCTGGGAGTGAGAAGCAGAACCTGGGCCTCCTCCCACCTGCCTCCTACATCATCGGCTGTCCTGGGCTGGCTGCTCTCTAGGCCTCCTGCTTGGCAGCCCCACTGGGACTTCCATTCGCCATCATCCTCTTGGAATTCCCTTCCACTGCTTGCTTTCCTGTTTGGGGTCCTGTTTCCAGACTCAGTTTCCTCTTTCTTGGCTTTCCCCTTCATTTTGCTAAAACACATCCTTTAGGAGCCTCAGAGAAATGATACATGGAAGCCAAAGTTTTTGAGCCTTGCACATCTGAAAATATCTTTAATTCTACTCTCGTATTTGACTGGCTGGGCATAATTCCAGGCTGAGTTAGTTTCCTCGGGATTTTAACGGCATTGCTCCATGCTGTAACATTTCCAGTGCTGCTGCTGTGAAGTTCACCGCCATTCTGATTCTGAAACCTCTGGGTGCTGTCTGGAAGCTTTTAAGATCTTTTGCAAGTTCATACAGTGATGCCTCATGGTAGGTCTTTTCCCTTATTGCGCTGGGCACTTGTGAGCCTCTCAACTTGGAGACTCTTCCATTCTGTTTTTAGAAACTGCCTTCGGTACTGCTGAATTGATGACATCCTTCTCTCTTTCTAACACACCTGCTGGGCCTTGGGGATTATCCTTGTCTTGTCTTTTATCTATTTCCTACTTGTCTTTTGATCTATTTTCTGAGAGATTTCCTCTACTGCAGCCCTTCCTGTCGGATTGTTAATGTTGTATTTTCTCACCTTAGTTGTGTCCCTGGCCTTCTTTAATAGCAAGCTGCATCCCAGTCTTCCCACACATTCACTTTTCTGCTAATTCTGATCTTCCTCATGCTGGCGGCTGCTCATCTGCACTGAAGAGAGAGGCACCAGGAAGCTCACAGGCAGCTCTGTGTGCATGGAAGGGGTTTATCCACCCAGGTGTGGGAAGAGCAGGCAGCCAGCTGATCTTTCCACCAGGAGACGCTCACCATGGCAGCACCTACAGATCTTTACCCCAGGGCCATGCAGTTTCTTCAGTTTAAAACAAAATCTCCAATCTTTCCCGACCCCGTGGTGAGACCCTACCATGCATGCCTTCCTGCGTCCAGGGCACGGGGCTCAGGCAGGGCGAGGGCTCCACTGCTGAGCAGGCAGGCCGCCACTCCAGGATAGGGACGAAGGGTGATGAGCTCTACCAAAGCCCCAAGGGATTTCAAATTCCTCCAAGTGAAAAGCTCAAGCAGAGCAACAGCTTTTTAATTTTACCATTTCCTACAGCAATGTTTACAAGTGAAGATGGGGAGAGAGAGCAAAGGCCCGAGTGCTCCCGCTCTTCCCCTTCCCATTAGGAACTCACACATGATGCTCCCTTGTTTCTGCCCTTCTAGGGCCGGTCTCATAAACCCACTGTCATCACCTTCTCAAGAATGAGCTGTGTTTTCCACTTGTTATGAGCTTCCTAACAGAGGACACAAAAAAGATGCTGTTGTTTGTAGCCTACAGAGAAAGCATTACGGAATTCTTGACCAGGCCCTTCCATGACCTTGAGGAGAAACCGGAGAAGGAAAACAGGAAAGAGAAGCTGCGGCGATCCCAGGGTCCATTCCGCCCGGGCAGGGTCCCAAACAGCCCTCTCGGGCTGCCCACTTCTTCAGAACGTTGTCCCCATCACGAGGACAGCGCAGAGCTGCCAGGCACAAGAAAGGCGCGATTCACCCCAGTACCAAGCAGCAGCCACAGGCAGCGGGCACCAGCGCCGCATTCCCATGGCTGAAAACTGAGGCTCTGCTCTCAGTCCTGCTTTTTTTTAGATTCTACACTTGGGAGCACAAAAGGCCTTTAAATATTCATGGCAATTTCTGTGCTTTGATTACAGGTTACCTTGCTGTGTCAGACAGGCCTGAAACATATTTATTAAATATTATAAGCTTAAATGCCTACTATAATTACCAGAAAGAGAGTATTCTACACAGTTTGGAAACTATTAAAAATTGAAGTCAGAGGCCCTTAAGGTGAATGCATTTACCCATTTTTGTCCCATAGCTGTGTATATTTAAATTGCAGAGCTGAATTTTAAGTTTTGTTAAAGTAAAAATTACAAGTTTAAACTTTATTCCAAATTGATCCAATGTGTATAGAAAATATAATTCTTTTAGGTACCCAAGGAACTATGAAATGCATTCCCTGTTTATGAAACAAACCATAAGTATCCTCTACTGAGCCACTTGCCCAATTGAAGTAACCGTAGCATTTCATACACTGAGAGCTGCTTACCAGGTTTTTGAAAAGCGCTGTCAACTCCTTTGTAAACACTGAGAACTTCAGGAACGCACTTCCTAAATCTGGGTCATCTCTGCATACACAGTTGCCGCCGAACTTCTCCAGAGCCTGGGTGTACTGCTCTTCATTTTCCACGTGAGCTGCAACAGAACGAGGGAGGTGCTGTGAGTCTCAAGCATGCCATCCTCATTCCCCACCAGGTTCCTCTCACTTGTGAATAAACACTGAACACATCAGCAGAAGAAGAATCTGAGAAAAGTCAAGTTGCACCAGGAACAGAAATAGCTTCGTTATCCCGGCAATCCATGGTGCCCGCAACAGATACCCAAGAACAAGCGTGGTGTGCAAGAGGGGAGGCCCTTGCCCACGTCCAGTGGTCCTCAGATGAGTCGGCCAAGGACACACAACATTTCCACCCCTTCGAGGATTCTTCCTTCACCAAAATGATGGCAGAAGTCACCAGACTGAGCCCCCTCCCAGAAATTCAGCCAGATGCCCCATTCCCTCAAGCCTGAAGCCCAGGACTCTAATTCAGAGCCACACACCACTGCTCCTTCCCCTTTTAACATGGGAACAGCAGTCGTCTTTGCAGCTCCAGTGCCTCTGCTTGGGATGGATCCTCTGCCCAGGGGCCCTTCCCTCCCGAACTTTTCTTCATCCTACAGACTCATGCTTCCTCCAGGAAGTCTTCCATGACTCTGCCCTACACCCTGGGTATTTCACTGGCACCTCTCCTATCCCTGCACTCAGTAAGTTTTACTGAAATGGTCTGGTAACTGTGTTCTCCATACACTGGACATGCTTACAGTTTACAGACTAAGTTGTATTCATCCTTGACCAAGTCATGTGCCTGAAATATTAGACAATAAAAAGCAAACCAGGTACTATGTCTGATGGCATTTTACTATCATCAGGGCTCAAAGTAGGACCTGAAAGAGTGAAAATCTGGACTCTGGGTCTCCAGCACAGTAGTTCTCAATCCCTGCTGGACACCAAAATCATGCATGGATTTTCACCAAACTCTAGACACCCCTGTCCCATCTCAGACCTCTGATTCAGAACCATGAGTAGAAATGGGGAAGGGGACACAGGTGATTCTGGTAAATGAATGTGTTTGAATATAATTCCCTCACTACAAGGTCAGGCACTTTCAAAATGAAACCAGTCAGTCTGTAATAAAACAACTTCTATCTGCATAGCTACCTAATTTCTATGTTTTCATCAGTTCAATTGGAAATATAACACAACTATTTACAGACACAACAGGGCAGGCAGACCCATGGTGTGAACGTGGACGTGAACTCCACTAGAAACAGCCTTAGTGCTGCAGCTCCTTCACCAAGGGACAGATCCGAAAAGTTCCTCTGTAGCTCCCCAATTCCTTCTTGGGGAAGTTAGACCACTGTCAGCTAACGCCAATGCCCAGGCTAGGCCTGACAAGGAGGGCAAAGGAGGGAACATTTGTTTCTGCAGGACAGTCCTAGACCCTGAGCCAATCTTTATGGCCCATGAATGGTCTGCTCACCCATCCTACTGGGGCAGCACAGTGTTCTTGACCTCCACTGGCATTTAGAGGACTCCAGCAGACACAAGAGAAAACTCATTTCATTATTCGAGTCCTTTCCTTTTTTTTTTTTTTTTTTAATGTTCTTGAAAATAGCCTAAGAGTTCTAGATAAATGAATTTCTGAGACCAGATTTAGCAAGCAAATTCAGACAGAAACATACGTGTGCACACACTCACACCCGCAAACACACACAGCTCCTGAGGAGCCCTCAGAAGATCTGGGTTCCAGTCCTATGTCTGCCAGTAAACATTTGTATGACCTTGGTAAGTCACAGTGACGCTGGGCCTGCAGCATCAACTACATAAGGGATAAAGACCTGCTGGGAGATGCTCTCAAGGTCAGAGAAGAATGAAAGAATTAGGTAAAGACATTCAGTTTACCACATGGGAGCATAACCAATAACACCAACAACAGTGACAGCAGCAACAGGTGTCACTTATTCAAAGCACACATTTACATATATTTTTTCTAAACCTCATAAGACATGTATTATTTCTCATACCACAATTAGAAAATGAGGGCTCAAAGAGATCAAGGAATTCATCCAAGGAAACACAGCTAGAAAGTGGCAGAGCTGGGATTCAAACACAAATCTAATTCCAAAGTCCACTCTGCTACTCTGCTACACTGATATTTGTTTCATCGTTAAAAAGTTTACCTTGTCAAATGAAAGTACGTTAATTTTTAGATTTTTAAAATTCAGTTTCACAGATAGAGCACTAATTCCTTCTGTTCTACTCGATCATTCTAGAGCATGTGGTTAACAATGAAGGGTATGTCCTTTCAAACCACATACTATTTTTAAACTATCTCAAAATTAGTGGTCAAGACGTGGGCAGTTTTAGTGGGTTCAGGAAGGGAGCTGGCGGCCACAGACAGGTCTGTCACTGCCAACTGTCCACTGGATGACAGAAACAGGAATGCAGCCCCCCTGCTCCTGCTTCCTCCCTCGCTCGCTGCTGTCTGAGCCATAAGTCTTCCAAATGACGCCAACAGAGGGGAGCTGGACCATGGTCTCCTCCTTTATGGTGCTGGGTGATGAATGCAAAGCCCAGCAGGAGAGAAGCTGAAGGCTATGTAGCCTCATGGTGCCTTCAAACCATGAGGAGAACTGGACCCTCAGTGCTGCTGTAAGTGCACACCCAAAGGGAAGGGACTCTGCGTGTGGTTAACACCTACTAAGTGGCTTGTAAGTCTTTTGTTCAGTTTAACCTGATAACACTAAAAGTTGGCTATCAGTATCCCTATTTTCTTGTAAATCAAGTGCAGTTCAGAGAGTCATGTGACCTGCCCCAGACCAGAGTTGGTAGGAGGGTCAGTGCGCTTTGTACACCATGCAGGCTGCCTCCAGCCCTTGATAGGAGGATGGAGCCGGCCTTCTCACTAGCAGTAGCCTTCATGTTCCAGCACCAAGAAATGTGAAAGTACTCCTTATCATCCCTCCTTCTGGGCTCCTCAACTGACTACCTGGTATAGGTTAAGTTTTTTTCTTTTTTAAAAAATTATTGGCCAGACGCGGTGGCTCATGCCTGTAATCCCAGCACTTTGAGGCCGAGACAGGTGGATCACCTGAGGTCAGGAGTTTGAGACCAGCCTGGCCAACATGGTGAAACCTTGTCTCTACTAAAAATACAAAAATTAGCCAGGCATGGTGTTACACACCTGTATTCCCAGCTACTCGGGAGGCTGACGCAGGAGAATCACTTGAACCTGGAAGGTGGAGATTGCAGTGTGCAGAGATCACACGGCTGTGCTCCAGCCTCAGCAACAAAGCAAGACTCCATCTCAAAAAAAAAAAAAAAAAACCAACCTAAAAAACCTCTTGTATTTATACAAGTGTACGTATAAATACATCTTCCAAATGACACACTGATCCCCAGCAACCCCAAGGTGATCAATTAGTCCTTTGGCTTGTCATCCCCAAATTTGTCATCCCACTGTAAATGATTTACATTTACAGTGCTTTCATCCACTGCAATCAGCACTACCTTCTGATGCTCACACTGTATCAGTTTAGGTCAGTGGGAATCTTTTTGCACAGATGGATTTTTCATCTTGCCAGTGAACTCAGAGCTTTTTGCTGAAGCCCATAAGCCTGTGTCTTCCTCTAACCCTAGCACGGTACCCACCAGAGAATAGCCCTCCCTCCATGAATAACATGACACTGACTGACCTACTGCTCCAGATCACCCCAGGGGGAAGGTTTTCCTACTAGAGAACAGAAAATCATTGAGTGCCTTTATTTTTCTTTTGCCAAAAACAACCTTAAAATAGGAACCTAAAATAAATAGCTTGGGAATAAAGTTTCCGGAAAGATTCGAAACTGGGTCTATCAACTTTTATTTACAGAGTTGTGAAAGCTGTTCTTCTAAAGAGAGCTCACACTCTCACCTCCCCCTTGTTCAAATGTATCTTAAACTCTAATTCTCATTAATGATCCAGTTCCAAGAATCACTGATCTGGGAGAGCCTTTGGAAAGTAAGAATCTGGGTCACAGAGACCATGCTAGGACAAGACTTCATTTCTTCTCAATTCTAAGTCATCACCCCTTTATCTCCCACACCTCACTGCACAAAAGCCACCAATCTCTGCAAAAGGACGAACTGAGAGACTCCTGCAGAGAAATTGATCATGAAGCCAGCAAGTGTGTGTATATACTGAGTTTAGAGGAAACAACTAGGTTTTGCTGTGTGCTTTTTAGTTTACTGGATTCTGCTATTTAAAAAACTGGTATCAAGGTCCAGCGCAAATGGTTTAAGCAAAAATTACTGGATCCAAAAAGGACAAAGAATGGCTCCTTTGCTCCTCCTCTACAGGCCACATATGCAGATGCGCTCTTAATAGGTGAGTGTGGCCCACAGCACAGAGAGAAGTAAGCCACCAACACAGCACTGCCATAGGATGGGTATCCCACAGCCAACTCACCTTCAAGAACCACCTCCTCTTTCATCTCAAACATGTCACACACTATTTCCAGTCCTGCAACAGGGATGTGACAGCATGCTGGGGTGAGATACACGGACAGACATGCTCATGGGAACGATACGTCAATCCAAGCACTGATCACTTACAATGCATCAGGCAATGTACTAAGTGGATTCAGATGGCAAGAAGGAGACATGGAACTGGGGCTCCAAGGACAGGTGAGACTTGTCAAGCAGAGAAGCAGCAAATAACAGATATGGAAAGGCATTGGCCCCGGGGAACAGCAGGGAGTCCTTAGTGTTTGCACTGTTAAAACTTTTTTTTGTTTTTTAAATTGTACTGTACTCCAGAACTTTCTCTGTTTTGTAAAGCCCCTCCCTGCATCCAGCTCTCAGCTCTCAAAATCGCCACAGGGCAACACAAGCCTCATTGTCCCCACCTCCTCAGGTCTCCACACTCACTGCTGAGTCCCTTCATTCCACGGATCCTGAAAGGTGACCTAGTCCAAACATGGAAACTAAAGCCCAGAGAGGGTGATGACTTGCTCAAGGTCACACAGCGAGTTTGCGGCAGAGCTGGAAAAAGAACTCGGGTTTCCTGACTCACAGTCCAAAGCTCTTCCTTCCACAGCAAAAACCGTTTCTTCAC